AAATTTCTCTTCGCGTTATATACAATAAAAAAGACTTTTATTTCTCCATCAATTTATGGTCGTTCCTCATCTCAAATGAGAAAACTTTGATAGTGGATTTTTAAAACGGTACGAATTGATTTTATAGGCTGGAAACCTTCAATTTCCCTTTCCTTCTGTTCCTTTCTTATTTGATTCAAATAACGCCGTCTTTCCAGACGAGGGCAATTTCTTGTCTTTTTGGAAAGAAGAGAGTTGCTTGTTGAAGCATGCAGAGAGAAAGAGGGAATGCGTTTTTTATTTATTTATTTTCTCGAGAGCACGTGAAACAAGTGGAAAAGTGCTGGAAATCAATAAGAGCAAATTATCTGCCTCAGCAGGGGTCTTTGAGCGATTCGGGCTATTTGCAAACTCGATTTTTGTTTTCCACTTCATCAGAGGTGTTGATGGACTGCACAAGAAAAAAAAGAAAGTGTGCTGGTGGTGTGGAAATTTATTTTTATCGGTGAGGCCCAGCATTCCGGCTCGTGGAGCAACTTGTGGAAGAAAAATGACAGAGAGAAGAAGAAGGGATGAAAAAGTTTGTCCTGGAGTGTTTTCTGGGGTTTCTTTAGGTATAGAAGAAGATCTTGATAGTAAAGCAATTTACAATTGAGGTCTAGTTTTTCTTTCAATCAGATGAAACAAATTTAATTATCAAAGCTGGTTGAATATTTTTAATTACTATATAAATAAATTTGGTTTTTCTTGTTGTATTCGGATAAAATATTTAACTACATAATATCTTTTATAGCATATTTAAAATATAAAAAATATTATTTTGCTTCATAGAATTTATACTCCATCAACAATTTGAAAATTTTATATCCTTTTTATGTGCTACCAACTTTTATTTCTTTTTACTTGAGACCCGACGGATCCACGTAACTGCTTTTGTGGTTTTCTGCCAGCAGACTTAACTTGTCATTCGCAACACGTGGTTATTACTTACGGTAACGGGCTGGAACTGGGGTGCGTGGCTGTCGCCGCATTTGCATGCATTTGTTGCTCTCGTTCTCCCTTTTCGTGTTGTTATTTCGTCGTGGCGCGAGGGGTGCAGCCCTATATACACGTACGTCAAATTCCGAGTAATTGGTTGCTACGGCCGCGAATGCATGATTAATGTAAATGCGTGTTATTGACTGACAAATTGGCGAAACGCGGGGGACGAATTTTCCACACTGACGCGCACCGTGTCACGAAAGAGAGAGCGAAAAACGACAAACGAGACGTTGAGCGTTTTTTAACGGGTTCAAATGTGAGGAGAGAAAAACGCTTGAGGAATAAATTCAAGATGAAAATGGTTTATTCAGATTAAAAGCTATTTTGAGTAAAGATAGAATTTTAATTCAAGAAGGATTGTTTATACATAATTATATAATGATTCTAATTTTATAAATTAAATTTATTGTTTTGTTATATTTTACATATTTTGATAAAAATATACTTTATGTATGTACGTATAAAAAAATTAAAAATTATTATAATTAAAAAAAACTTGTAAATAATTAAAAATTAGCAATAATAAATTTGTGAATTAAAAACATGTACCACTTTATTAAAGCAAATAAAATTTAATTAACTCTTTTAATAACTAGTCAACATTGCTATAAATTCTACTTAATTTGCCTTCTATTTAAACCAACACATTTTTATTTTGCAAGAAATTAATAAAGAATAATTAATAAATAATTAAAAACAAATTAATTTGGCTTGAAACTACAAATCTGATTTGATTGAGTGTGTTTTTTTGTTCCCAGCGGGTATGTGTAAATCGTAAGCTGATTTGAGCGAATGCTGGTTTCAAACGTGTCTAATTATTCAACGCTCTGGACCAAAACCCGGTTTAAAGCCGCTCTTGCAGCAGGTCTGCGTCACATTTGTGAACATGTTTGTTGTGCGTTCCGGCGACAAAAAAGCAAAAACCACGCACGGAGCATTAGTCAGTCTACCTTGTTAATTGACGCTCTCCTGGGGAAAACAAGCGAGCAAATTTCGTCCATCCATCACCGACGTCGAAAAAAAAAACTAAAAGGAAAATCCTTGCATAGTCGTCAAGTTGTAAAAAAACCTGCGGAAAAAGTGAAGTTTGAGTTTTTCGTGAATGGAAAGAGAAGGAAAATGTAGTTTATTTTATTATGATGCAAAAAGGAAGCTTTGCGTGATGAAGTTTTCTAGCCCAGGGCTCGGCACCTCCGTTGGATTGTGGGAGCCTGGAAAGTAGACGAAAAGCAATTTCCTATGTATTCGACGGCAGAGTCTCTTCAAACGTGCTTTATCTTCATTATTTCACCTCTGTGTCGAGAGAAGGAACCGGAAAATTCCTTAGTAGCTTTTGTGCGACTGATTAAGAGCTCAATGTGAGAACGAAAAGGGTAATAGGATGAGTGAGAGGGTGTGTGCGTTGGAAGAAGGCCAAATTTATATATATTTCTATTAAATGTATTTCTCCGGAGGGACATTCCCAGCGTACGGGGAAATTTTCACTTAGCGAACGTTCAGGGACCCTAGTGAGTTTTAAAAAATTTCAAGATAAAATAAGTGATAAATTTACTATTGAATTCAAGAACAACTTCATGAAAATCTAATAAATTTACTTTTGAATTATGAAATAATTTTCAGACTAAAATTTTGTATTATATGTAAGGTTTCGTTCAGAATTTTGTAATAATAATTATATGAAGATCTGTTGACAAAGAAGATTAAAAAAAAACTCATGTTATTTTTGTTTAAAAATTATAATTTTTCAAGAAATTTGTCTTCCCCAATAAATATTTAGACAGCAAACAGTAACAAAATAGCGTTTTCAAGTCATTTTGATCACGATTAAAGAAGATCCTCTCCGGTCATTTGTATTGCTCTCGATTCTAAAAGATTGATAAATTTTGAGTATATCTTGTGAAAACACGATGCGAAAATTCCAAAACGTTACGTCGCTATCAAAAGAAAATCGAATTACGAGTGATTCGCGCGAAAAACGTGTGAGAATTGAGTAGCCAATCAGATCCATCAGTTTTGTACAAAACCTGCAGGATTTGGTCACATTGGCGCTGCGATCGCTGATTTTACCGTTTTCTGCACAGCGCCGTGCGGCATCAGTGGCAAAATCAGCGATCGCAGCGCCAATGTGACCAAATCCTGCAGGTTTTGTACAAAACTGATGGATCTGATTGGCTACTCAATTCTCACACGTTTTTCGCGCGAATCACTAGTATTTCGATTTTCTTTTGATTGCGACGCAACGTTTTGGAATTTTCACATCGTTTTCACAAGATAAACTCAAAATTTATCAATCTTTTAGAATCGAGAGCAATACAAATGACCGGAGAGGATCTTTAAATATTGGACTTTTTGAAATTGTTTGTCAAAAAATTTGAAGTTTTGAGGGGTAAAAATGATGAACCAGCAGAGCATTGCTTATTTTCGAGCAAGACGAGCTTCTTCAAATTTACGTGAGCTCTCAAAAGTCGCAATAATTTGCTATGCTCTGGAAATCTATTTGGCTGGAAGTTTGTTGTTGCCATTCGAAACCCTCTGTGCTCGTTCCATCCCCGTTTCAATCCCCCACGGAGATGGAGCTTGCGTTTGAGGCGAGCAAATACACGCTTCGCTAGTCATTCATGCAGCGTCTCTCGTCGCAGCGACCTTTTCCCCGTTCGGGGCTTTGTGCATCGAAATTCGCGCGCAACCTGCGCATCTGCAGTCCATCGCAAAGAATTGGAGCTGAAGCGGGGCAATTTACTCTCCGCTTCAACTGCTAAGCAACGGACACACAGATGTGGCTAATTGGCTGAATATTAATTAGGCCGCTGGATTCTCTTAAGAGGAACCGACTGGCTCTCGTGAAAGAGCAAAAAGCTTCACACCTCATTAGCTTATGGCAACAGCACATTCATACCATTTAGTACAACTGTAGGATCTGACAACTCGAGTAATTCAAGACTAATTTAAGCTGTAATTAATTAAATGTCCGGAGTCTGTTTTACATTGGCTTATTTTTACACGTAATTATTAATTGAAACTCTCAGAACTAGAAAATTCTTTTGTCGTTTTAAATCAAAACTAATCTGATTTTACACTTATTATTTGGTTCAAAAGTTGAAAACCATTTTTTCTAAATGCAATAATTTCGATATTGATGGGTTCAGTATAAATTATTCTCCTCTAGATAGAGTTATTTCTATAAATAAAAAAATTCCAAGACATATTTTATTTTAATTTAAACAAAATTTCAATAAAAAAATATAATGTAAACGAACATGATATTCCATAATTTTCGTGCAGGGTCTTGGAAGAAAAGCTTTACTGATTTCAGTCTGATTGCTCAATTTTGCAATAAAATCCAACTGCAACAGGTGATAATTTTGAGTAAAATTCAATCTTTTATTATCAGCAGTGAAATTTTCCACTTATGCAACCCGCGCAACAAAGACAATTTAATTTTTGTTTCATTTACGCATATGTTAGGGTAGAATCAAGGCCCATATTGTAATAGTTGCAATTAAATTAAAATAGTCTTGAAATTCTCTGCGCGTGCTGATTCTATTTTCGCAGGTTGCATAATTACTGAAGCTCTGAACCACGAATTCTTAATGGAAGGAAATGAATGCAATACTAAAGGAAAATCAATCTTTAAAGATAAAAACTTTGTATTTCGCTGCAAATTATTCACAAATAAATTTAAAATCGGGTATAGCCGGTTGCGTGCATAATTATAAAATTTACATCAAAGCTCAATTTCCACTTTGAAATAATTTTGACACGCAAACCTACCACAAAACACAATTTACTTAATATTATTTCCCGTGACGGCCAGACTGGGGTGACGCGTTCATTTCACAAAGGCCCAAGTTCAAAGGCTCATTTTTAAGCTCTCTTTTTCCGGGGTGAAAAAATAAACAAATCCCGCGGAAAAGCGAGTTGGTTTTGTCATGATTCTGAAGCGGCGTTGGTCTTTAATTAAAAGCCTCTTTTTGTTGCAGGAGTGGCGCACACCTCACGGCTCATGACCGACTCGGGCGACCTGCAAACTTTGGACCAGGTACGTTATATTCCAGCTCGAAATATAAAGTGACGTCACATTTCATCTCGCCCGCTCGACCTCTGCGCCTCTATTATTTACGAGAATTTCCGCGCGCGCTCCCCTTCGTGAATTATGGAAGGAAAGCCGTTTTAAAATCCTTCCTTGACGTCGTCCTCATCACGGTTCATAATTTGGCTTTGTTCTCACCGCCTGTCAAAAATGAGCCAATATTTATTCAAAATCAAGTAATTTCTCCGAGGGAAGAAATTGATTATAAAATGCAGCGTTTAAATTAAATTTTTTGTTAGTGAAAACCGATTTCCAGACATAAATCAGTTAAATTTTAATATTCGCCGCTAGCATTTTCTCATTAATATGCTTTCTTTCGATTAATATTGAAGTTTCAATCTATTGAGTTTTATTAAAATTCTTTTGTTTTTGTTTCTGAAATATCCTGATTTATTTTCTTTTTTCTAATTGTAAGACAATAGCTGTCGCAGATAATAATAAATAATAAAACAATTTATGGAAATGAAGCGATCATGCTTTTCCTCGTTGCAGAAAATTGTGAGGGGCCTTAATGTGTCCGAAATAATTTTGTCCCAAAGTAATAACATCGACTGAATCTGGAACTCTGTGACAAACGTTATTTTTAACGGGCTGTGAATGAAATAAATAAGAATACTATGCATTACCATACTACTCAATTTCGGACAGTTTAATTTCGGATGAACCATTTTTCGGAGAAAAAAATTCGGATGAAGTATTTTCAGAGAAAATTTTGAAAAAATTCGGACAAAAATATTTCGGACACATTATTTTCGGACACTTTATTTTTCCGGATTCGGACACAATTATTTCAGACATATTATGGGCCCCCAAAAATTGTTTTTATCTACCAGTTTCGGTCACGGAATAAAAACAATTTTCTGCATTGAGGAAAAGCCCGATCGCTTCATTTCCATGATCATCTCCTCGAGTGTCAACTTCTTAAAAAATTTTACTATTTTATTTTAAGTAGTTTCATTTCTGAACAATTTTAACATAATCTTTTAACTTTATCAACGTCATTGACGCCGTAAAAATTGCTTGTGTGGTGTTGACGTTGACTGGATTGGATTTTTAAAGCCTTTACAAAATCTGCTCTGCTAACGTAGCTCTTTTTTTCAAGAGAGTTCTGAAGAGCTTTGGACTTTCGGCGCTCATTAACACCACCAGTGCGCAGTCTTTTCGCAAGCTTGCAAGTAACGTTTTTATTGATTTTCCTTCTGTTTTGCCAAGAACGGACTAAAGAGAGGTTTTAAATCAGAGCACGAGTAAATTTTTAACACCGAAAGAAAGTATATATGCGATGTAAATTTGTATTATGGGCGCGTTCGGAGGTTCCGTTGAAGTTAATGTCTGCAGCTAGGGTAGTGTGAGGCAAAGTGAAAAGGAAGCTTTTCGCCCAGTCCCAAGCGGCCACACGGCCTTGCAGATTCAACAGGCAGGCCACGTAATGAATGGAAAATTTGTCACTCCTCAGGGAGCGATCCAATATAAGGCGACTGTGGCGGATCAAGATATTGCTTCATTAGTTAGGAAAAGGGGTAAATCTGATTCCTCTCAACATTACAAAGGTGATTGTTGAGAATTTTTATTGAAATGAAAATTATGAAGCAGCTCAAGTATAAAAAATTTATTTAAGTTACAAACAAAAAAATAAAAATTAAATATTTTTAAAATTATTAAAAATAATTATATTTTTTATAATATACATTTTTAATATTTTAACGCATTTCATATTATATTTCTGAATTTAAAACAATTACAGAAAAACATCTTAAATAAAATTTGTAATTAATAATATTGTTGATTTAAAAACTTCAAATGCTTTCATAATCAAAAATTAAATACACAAAGCTACACACCTTAGGCGTTTTAGTGTAAATTATAAATCTTCATCAAAAGAGTTTTATTTATTGAGAGATTGAAAAGGTTCCCAATCAAGAAAGACATCCGTGTTATTATAATTGAAAAAACGGCTAAATATTTCCATTAGTTCAACATCAGATGAAACACAGTGAAATTCCGATTGCAATAAATGGAATTTAAATTACTTTGTGAGCCGACGAAATAAATTGATTTAATTATTTGAAATGTTTCCTATCCCATTGGCGTTTGCAATTAGGTTTGCAAATCGAGTTAAAAAGCAAACACACTTGGCGAATTTTGGCGCTGGAATTGAGCTCGCGGCCTCAAATTAAATATTCCACGGCGCGTGTTGGTCGGTGGTGCTGTGCGCACCGCCTCGGGCACACTTTTGCTCCAACAGAGTCGTGGCAAAGATTTCCTTCCATGTGTTGTGTAACTCGTAACTCCTCACAGGGGCTCTCTCTCGCGTTCTTAAAACGACACCTTGTGCACGCTTCACGTCAACCCTCTTGTTCTTGCGGTTCGAATTAGCAGGCACAATTACGCACAAAGTAAAGAGAATGACAGAGAGGACCATGAGGTGAACTTTACTTACTTACAGGCATTGATTTTTTTTTTTTTTATTCTCAAGAGAAAATCTAATATTTATATCAGAGAAATTTACATCGGATTATAGAGGATTAAAAACAAAATCGATAAAATCATCAAATTTTACTGAATGTTGAACCAGCTCGTTCAAACTTAAAATAAGAAGCTACAAATTTGAAATTTTTAAAAAATTTGGTGCATTTTTTACAAACACAGCAAGTCATCTTAACCCAGATCTCAATGATTCTGATGAAGTGTGATGAAGTTTCATACAAATAAAATTTTCCAATTTTTATGTCTGAGTTTATAATTTTAATATATTTTACAGAAATTGCATTACACAAAATATGCAATCTAATTTAATTGTGTGATCAATTTTTATCAACTTATAATTTATTCCTTAAATTTTCTTTATATATTTGTTCGTGTCATGCATATTTACACAACTTACAAATTAACCAAATAATTTTTTTGAAGAAGTTGACATTCGGGAAGGTGATCATGGAAATGAAGAAATCGGGCTGTCTTCATTAAGCTGGTTTATTTTTGAATAAAAACAAGTTTTGCAACGAGGACAAGCCCGATTTCTTCATTTCCATAAACAAATCATGATTTATTAATACGAAAATATAACTCTAAATAATACATTTCCGACAAATCAAGAACTCATTTTTTGTGTTCCTAACACATGCTGAAATTTGAAAGCATTTGCGTGTTATTTTAGGCTGCAGACAAGATTAATTGATATTCGCAGCGAGACACGCCATGTGACATTTAATCAAACCTTTAAATTTCCCACCACAAAGATAGCAGATAACCCTTTTTAACGCAAACTTCCCACTCTCCTACATAACGATTAATAATTACCACCTAAACCAAAAGAACAAACTTTTCACATGTATAAATTCATTTATAAAACCCAGGATAATCCCCCAAAGGGAAACATCGCCATTTCTTGATTCCGTGCTCTCGTCTCTAATCCCGAGCAAGCAACTTTCTCGAAATTTGATTTGCTACTTTTCTTTTGCAGCTGTTCGAGTGGCCGATCGGGCGACCCATCGAGCCGGACGAGACGGTGAGCGTGGCTTTGGTGCTGCACAGCCGACTTTTGCCCGACCGCTCCATCGGCCACTACATCGTGCCCCTGCAAAAAGTGGTCAAGGAGGGCAAACTCTCATTAAGGGACTCGCTGCTTGATAACAACGCCAAAACCCTACCGGTGAGTAAACATACATCCCTGTTTCTGCTTTTCCGTGTTTACTGCGAAACTTTTTAAATTGGATTCTTCGCAAGGAAGACGAAGGTCTTATGAATCATGGTGTGGGTATAATTGGGTTTATACACTTGCACCGCAAAGTTGGACGGGAGCAAAATATTTTAACTGGATTACCAAAACTTTTCTTTATTGACGAACGAGGAAAATTTTCGTCTCGCCATATAAATTTAAGGCTTGTGCTTATATCAAAAATAAATATTCCTATTAGACTGGCTAAAATTCTTATTTTGACAAGGTGAATTTTTTGAAAATCAGTTGTGGCAAAATTTGTCCTGCAGTCAATTTTTTGAGAGAAATCTCGGAATTATATAATTAAATTTTTCTTTTTTGCTCAATTATATTATTATTGTCTTTATTAAACACAAATGTGTACAACGTCATGTATTGATCGATAAGTTATACATATAAAATATACCTAAAATTAAAATTAATATTAATGAAATTGAAAATTCAAGTTTTATCTTTATCTAGTGTAGCATATTCACTTTACTCTTTTCGAACAATTAAGGAGGTGATACTGGGAAATCTCCTTTTCATCACAAAGTTTACATACACAATTTGCTCTCGCAGTATGGAAAGTTTTATCTTTACAAATACAATGATGAAATCCGTGCATCGCAAACCGGGTCTGAACATGTCTATTTTTAAACAAAGGCTTTTTCCAATTATTATTTAACATTGCTGGTGTTTGGTATATTTCTTCATTGAAATCTCGTTCTTTTCATAATTGAATATGTGTCAGGAACTCATCATAAGCTCTATTACTACTTAAATTAAATGTGTTCTTAATTTTAGTTACAAAAGGCTCTTCATCGCCAATCAAAAGATACAAATATGAGCTTCTGGAAAATTTGCTTACTCCTAGAACTTTTTTGAAATATCTGGTCATTAAATTTTCGTAATTGACCAAGTCACAAATTTTTAAATACGGCCAAACTGCCAATTATATAACATATTAAAACACAAACTTTTAATACATTTAAATTTTATAATAAGACCAAACTTAATTTTAATTTTAAATAATATAACATACTTTTTAAATAAATATGCAATTTTTATGCAATTTGTTTGTTGAACATTACCAACTAGCATTATTTTAACTGCAACTGAATTGGCGGAAGAGGTTTTTTTTCCTTAAACTATTTTATAAATTTTGCAAAGAGCACAAATGAAAATGAATTGTCATAGAAATGACGTTTTTTGTTTGGAACTGTACGTCATTTTAATTTTTATTATTTGTATTAATAATTAAATCAAGTGACTTTTTACTGGTATAAAAAATTTATCACGTTAAAGGAAATTTTTAAATTTGCTTTTTTCCAAGATCTCTTTTCCTTGGAGACTTCAAGTTAATGCAGGGGAACGAATATCTAATTTGAAATTCATGTCAGACGCGAAAGTGGACTCTTATGAAAATATTACAAGGACGGGAGGGTGATTTGCAGCCGGGATTCCATTAACACACCAACAAAAGCTGCTGCGCTCTCAGCCCTTTTGGCCTGTTGCCGAGGCACGTGACAGCGACTGCAGCGAGCAAAAATGGTAAAAATGAGGGAGCATAATGGGGAAACAAGGGTGCGGTTCATCCCCCGAGGGTCCAACATTCGCATGTGAACGTTGCATACTAATTCCAGGAGGAAAAAAAGGAACTTGGCAGACGCAAAAAAAGTAACAAAAACACGAAACAATGCCAGGTACTGCGTGGTATTTGTTTTAAAATCTATTGTTCTGTTTCTACTTTTATGGAAGGAAAGAAAATTATTTGCAAGTTTTTCAAAACTGCGCTGGCAAGGGTTTTATAAAATTACAAATTAATTTATCCTTCAAAATATGTATATAGAATAATTTTAAGTTATTTTGCTTATTATTGGAAAATTTTCTCAATTTTTTAATATTATTCCTCAAGTTATTTGGAATAAAACCGCTTGCCAAGCATTGAAAACAATGAAATTCAAGCCTAAGGGACTTCAGAGATGTGGGGACTAAAATAAACTCCGGCGAGGGCGGATGCGGGGTGGTTTTCCAGAGTTTGTGTGAGTAATGACGGTGGCTTTGTGCAAGTAGTCCTCTTGTAGGGCACCTCATTAACTCGCTGCAAAGCAACACGGGGCGAAAGAGAGCCACGAGCAATATATGCGCCAATTTGTGGAGCCCAAAGCCCCAGATTACGGAAACCAAATCCACTTTTTGTTGGATTTCGATCGCTTGTTTGTAGAGAAAGCTTTACTTCTCAATAACAAGTGGTGCAAAAAAGTAAAGTGATGAGAAGAAAGGGTGGTGCAAAATTAGTAATTCTTTTCTTTGTGTCACGCGCTTCAATATTTGCTCGTACTTCTACCTTCTGCAATCAGATTGGGCGAGAAGAAGCCGGTTTTGTTCCATTCTGACACTCGTCGGGTCTCCAGAGGAGCTGAAAGAGAAAGGAAGAGCGTGTGTGTGTGCGAAAGAGCCAGTTTGCACGGCCGGTCGATAAATTTGCCCGCTCTGCCACACCGAATGTTTTGACGTTCGTCGACGCAACACCACTCCTCGCACACGTTTATTTTTTTTTTGTCTTGGGAATCCACGGTACATAATATGAAAAGTGGTGCAAAAAAGGGCCCAAAAGATAATAACGTTATCTCTCGAAATATGTACATATTGTGATGCGTGCGGATGTGCGTTGCGAAAAACAACCGCACAAAAATTGATGGAATTGTAGCAAAAGCTCTCTCGTATTGTTATGACGTGCGCTTGTTTAATGCAAAGTGTTTTTTTTTTTTTTACCATTATTGTGCCTCGCATCACACGAGCAAAGCTCCATTCATTTTCAGTGCGTAGAAAAATTTTACTCGCTGCTGGATATTTTTACCTGTACTTGCAGAGATGGTAGAGAGAATACATTTTTTTTTTTTTTCATATTTCTGTCTGGTTTTACCAGACCGTTATTTTTATGAGGGAATGTCAATTTTTTTTTATTTACTTGCTGCAGGTGTTGTGAGCCAGGCAGCCAGATTAATTGCGTGAGTTTTAAAAACTTTTCTTTTTTTAACAACCAATAAAGCAAACTCATTAAACTGATCTTCTTTTTAGCATAAAAAATTTGGCGAAAATTTGTAAAATATGTTAAACCACGACATGAAAAAGACGAGTTTTTTCTTACACAACCGCAACATCCATATGTTTAGAATAATTATGTCTACTTAATAGGCTTAATAGTGTAAAATAAATTTTTACTTGGAGATATTTTAAATTGAGGTTAAAACATTCTGCTTATTACTATAATTTTTTTTATTAAATATATTAAAATGATTTAATTTAAATATACAATTTCATTATTTTCAAAAGAAAATTCTTGTATAATATTAAATGATTACAAATAATGCTACAGTCAATTAAATTCTTGCAAAACAATTAAAATGCGAACGCGTTCAACAATCTATGTTGTATTCCTAATTTTTACAAAGCATTTTTGTGTGTCGGTAATGGTTATTCTTATAATTAATTTCTCATAAAAATTATTTTAATTAATATTGAAATCCTGTAATAATTGATTGAAATTAAACCTCCAGAAATATCTTTAGTACATTTCGGTACATTTTATTATTAACATAAAGTCAATTTGACCCTGCATAGCGCGAAAATTTTTGCAAGTAAAGTAAATTCTGCTTGTTTTCACGCACATGCGAATTCCTTTTGGATCGCTTAAGTTTTACGCATTATATAATCGCAGTAGTTTTGCGACCGAGAAAGATCTTCTCGGGGCTTGCCGAGCAATTCAGCCAATCTCCCAGGGCGACATTAAAGCGAATTGGGGGGTGAAATTCTTCTCGCCATAAAAACTCTCTTTTCTCTCCCATTCACGGTCCTCTGCCTTTTCTAATTTCGCGTGTTTAATAAAAGCAGCAGTAGCAGCGGAAGGAACTTTGGGTTTGCCTTTTGTTGCGGGTCTGGCGCAATTCCTTTACATATGCGTTGACAAAGACCGGTTATATGGGCTGGAAGATGTACCAAGATTACGACGACGACGACGAGTTTCTGGTCCTGCTGCTCAAGAGCACTTGATAATTGCCCGGGCACATAATCTCGAGGTTAAGTGGAACCGCACGATCTCCTTCCCGATGGCAAATTTGATCCGACCCACGTTGCTGGTTTGGAACACGCTGCATGTTTCCCAATTAAACGTTCCAAAAATAGAGGAGATTATTAACACGCAGTGCGAATTCAGAGGAAAAGCGAGCACGGAAAATGCGAAATACATATATTTAGTGAAGAACGTCCGAACACTAAATATTCATTTCGCAGCCGCAGCTGCAGAGGAATGGCCGGTGTTCTCTGAATGTATAATAAATTCATCGCCACACCAAGCGAGCGCAACAAATGGAAAAGCAGAAATGGAACAAAGACTCGTACGTGAGCGTTGAATATTCAAACTTGGTCCGACGCATTTTATTAGGAACTCGCAAGTGAATGGCGTGATTGTGGCTTTTGTCAGCTGACGACGTGTTTGTTTTCCTTTTTCATTTATTTTGGGTCTCGCTTGGTTGAATGAGAGAAAATGTTTTCAAGTTGGTGAGCAAATTGACCAAATTAAATTGTAATTCATGTTTTCCGCAGTTCTCTGTGCGAAAAATATGTATGTTTGATAAATTCAAATGTTTTTTTTTCCGGTTTAATGTAGTCATATAGCCCAGAGGCACATTTGAAAGTTTGTTATTTTACATCAGACGCACTCATCAGGAAAATATATATTTGTACTTACTTAGTTAATACTATTTAAAAGCGCATCTTTATTTGCATATAATTAATGTATATGCTGGAAAAAGGTTGTTTTTCCAAATTGCAATATTCATAAAATGTGAGCAGCGTGTATTTTTTCTTCTTCCATTATTTTTAAAAAAAAAACTGAACAAGAGAAGGACTTTATTTGTAATAAAGGTATGTTTATTGAATAGAAAAAAGAA